CCCGGCCGCCCCCGCCCCGCCCCGTTCGACCACCGCCGGACCCTGCCCGCCCTGCCCGCGGTCCCGCACAACGAGCAAGGCCCTGTTTGCCTTGGCCGTCGTGGGGCGGGGCCGGCGGGGCAGCAGCACCCGGAAGACCTCTTTGTAGTCGGATTGCGAGAGAACCCCAAGAGCGGCGCCGAGCTGTTATTTTGCGAGCGGTGAGCGGTATATCCCGCATAGACCGTCTTACTCTCTCGGCTCGGCAAACAAGCGCTTACGGCGCGGGCTGAACGCGGATCTAAATGACCACCCTGAGAGCTGCAATCACGATGCCGCGGCCGTGGCGGGGTCGGCGGCGGGGGGGCGTGTGTGTGGTGGGGGCGGCCAGGAGGGGTGGCGATGAGAGGGCGGCGAGGCTGAAACTGAGTGTGAAAGCGTTTTCTTTTCTTCCTCGTGCACGATGGGAAACCTTTGCGAGAGACTTTTCACTCCGCGCTCCCGCTAGCAAAAGCAAAAGCACTTATCTATCTAGATCGCCCCTCAGCGGCGGCGGGTAGCTCGGCGCGGGGCCCCAGGAGGGGGATGGTGGAGGCGGAGAGGAGCGCGGTCACGACGGCGAGGAGCTGAAGTTGGCGCGGCCGCGCGGACGTGTTGGCGAAAAGGAAGCCGTTCCCCGCGCGGCCGGTCCGGCCGGGTCGGTTGCGTGAAAGGATGGAAAATTAATAAACATCCCGCATAATGCGTCCTGCGCTGCCCTACCACCAGGCCCCGCCCCGCCCCGCCCCACCAGGTCGCGCACTCCCGCAGTCCTCCGTCTGCTTGGCCCTGTTTCTCTAATGCATACAACAGCCAGCCTCTTTTGCACGAACCGACATCAATATACACCGTACACACCCCTGATGGCATGCAGCCCTCAGAGGTCCTCACTCCTCAGCCCTAGGGATCGTGCTGAAAGTACGTCCTTGTGTCTCAGATTCATTCGACACAATAATAATGGAGCTACGGGCGCCTGCGAGGCTCGGGGTAGGCCAGCCCGCAGTACACGCCTGCACTGCAGGTGAGATGTTGCCTATCCATCAGGCGCTATGAGAGCTGGCATCGGCTAAACTTGGCAGGTTCGGCGATTGACGGACGTACTTTCTGGATGATCCCCTAGGGGTTGAAAGCTGCAGTCTTTGTGAGTGTATGTGCCGTGCCGGTTGCACCGACAGCTGAGTTGTTCTCTTGGGTATACTTGGACCCCGAGAAGAGGTTTGACATGATGTACGTGTTGACGCAGCCCCCCCCTCCCTACCCTCTGTTGAGCCGTGCGACTTGACCCACAGCCCGCCGCGTGGCGCAGGCACGCAAAGACACGCCCCCGCGAGACACCCGAATAACTGAGCGGCGCGTGCTGAGCTCTGCGCAGTAAACCCGAATGCATACCCGCTTAGGAGAAGGATCTGGGTCGGGCTCAAAGCTGGCCTCTAGGGGCTGGAGTACTACTGCTGGAGCGTGGGTGGGACCGCGTTCCGATGCTGCAATTGCGCGCGGGATGCACGGGGATCCCACGGGATTCCCCGCGAACACCGCCCCCCCCCCTTCCCCGCCCCCATTTCCCTTCGAGACATGTGTTCGCGTGTGTGACTCCAACTATATGCTAAGGAGCCGCAGCAAGAACGGGGTTGGTTTTTGGACGGGAGAATGGAGAATGTGTGTGAGGGGCGGCCGGAGGGGTCACTCTGCAAACACGGGCCAGGGACAAAGAAACATTTACTATTTCTACCTTTTGGTACTGAGCACGCAACACAAATCTGTGACCTTTATTACGTACGGATTGTGCACATTTCTGTAAAACAAAAACACAAAGACGTAACTTCTGTGTGGTCAGGAGGTACAGTTCTGTACAGAACTTACAATAACATTCTAGAAAATTTCTCCACCCTGCACTTAAGTCTTTCCCCTCCCCACCCCGTTCTCTTTCCCACCCTTGCTTCGCGTTGCTCGCCTACCCGCCGCTTGTCGATGGGGCGCAGGATACGGAACGCCCTCAAGGGCACGCCGGTGCGGTAATGCATTTAAAGAGAGAAAAATAAAAGTAAATACCTCGAGGTCGGCGTGCTTGCTGGCGGGTGGCGGCAGGGAGCGGGGCGGCGGCGGTCGTCCGGTCGTGGGCTCGCGTGGAAAGTGTTGGGCGCGCGTGGTTTGTGGCTCGGTCTACTCGTCATCTACGAGCATTCGGAGAAACCAGACAATATCTATAATTGTATAAAATAGGAATTCGCTCGACACATGTCAGCCACCCCACAAAAAAAAGGCACCTTTTTAAAATATACAGATCCTGTGTCCCGATAGGCCGGGATAGGCACTGTGCTGTGGACTAGGCGGCCGTGTTCTCCATGCAATGCGGGACCTCGAAGTATGCGGCAAGTTTGCGAAGCTGGGTGTGCTCGCCGCATAGGTAAGACGAATGGGTCGCAGTCCGAGGTGCCCACAATCGCGACTGTTCGGGAGCTACACGATGGCGAGCACCACACACTGCAGAGGCGCGTATATGCCCTGGCCAATCTACAACAGCCACCACACTTTTCATTCACATAGCAGGTGGCGACTATTTGAAGTAATTTGAAGCGCAGGGACGCATGATGGGATAGAGCAGGTAGAAGTGATGGTTCGGTGGTATTCCCTTCCACACCCACCCATTTGTGGACAGTGCGTTAGATTATCGAGATACCAGGGGCAAATCACATTTTTTGAATGCCTCATGCCACCTAATAGAAGAACCATCTACATCTCTGGGATTTCAAGCTTTGCAGCTATGGGTAAGTTGACAAGGCAAAGGTAGTCAAAAAAATTAAAATATTGTGCCCATTCAACAATAAGTTTTCCATAAATACAAATAAGCTTCAATAAATTCAAAAAAATAAAAACTGGTCCAATTTAATCAAGGCTGGATGCCACCTCATACATTGAGAATCTAAGATTCCTCCTTTTCAATGAACTCTTTTGTAACTCCAGCTCTACGCAACTGATTCTTTAAATTTGCAATAATTTTAGACTGACTAGCTAATCTTAACTCTTTCTGTGCTTCAGTTAGATAGTGATGGCCAGTGTTTGAACGAGCAACACCGTCTGAATGTCTCTTCATCCTTCCTTCAAACCTATGTTGTGCTTTTGAGCATGCACTGCAATATAACCTAGGAGTAGGAACCAAAAGAGAACATTCTGAGGACCTAAATGTCTTTGTATACCTTGCCTCACCATAAGGATTACAGTCTATATAACCATTCTTTTCACTAGCCCACATTTTTTCAAACTTTGTGGACCTAGCACCTACACAAACTTCATAAGCTCTAACAGCCATCACTACACGCAACACATGATCAACAAAATAACTGCTGGACTGTGAGGTCAAACGCAGCCCACTAGGCCAGTCTTTCGTAACTTCTTTCACAATATCTTCAGGCAGCTCTCTACGATGCACAGTAATCCTCAGTGTTCCACCATGAGTCACATAAACATTCCTTTGCATAGCAGGGTCCCTTCCACGTGAATGTTGAAGGCAATTGTAACCATCCTTGTCAGCGAGTAAAGTCCAATAGGGAGGCAATACACTTCTGAATAAGTCCTGAGTAGACTGAACTACATCCGCTGATGGTGGAGAGTCCTCTTCATCATTTAACAGTACATTCTCAGACGATTGTGCTATACCTGGTGATGGAATCCCTTCTTCAATAAATTCGAACAGTGGAACCTCAACTACATCTGAAGGTAATGTAGCGGCCGCCTCAACACTCTTGGGTAGTTTTTTAGAAGACTGAACTACATCTGCTGGATCTGCTAAGTCACCTTCATCCTCCATAGCAATTTCCATAGAAAAAACAGAAAACTGTAATTTAAAAGTAGAGTAAGAAACCTTTAAAATAATTTTAAGCAACATGAACAAATGTTGGAAAACAGTTTACCTGCGGTATGTTCCTATCACTGATAAAATCTGCCTCTGAATGGAGTTCAACTTTGACAGGAGCCTTAGACGCTCCCTCAAATCCATATACATGGTTTCTATCAATGCAACGTGCCTCATCATTGCCACTCAGTTCAATGCTCTTAAAAAAATCCAACAAGACAAAGTTCTTAAGTGCCTTTAAAAAAAATTAAAAAATAGGTATGGCAGATATATACACAGAGCAACTACTAACTTGAATGGGTTCCGTAGTGTCAGGCAAGCCGCCAACAAATCCCACAGCGTCACCTCTTTTGCTAGTGGGAACTTTGCTCTTGCGATTTTTCACACGTCTAAAGCAAGCTCTTTTGCTTTTCTTCGGCATTCTTTTTGTTGTGTATTGGTGGGATTGATAATCGCATCTTAGTACATAACCTCCACCCACACGTGAAACTTGCGTCACTGCGGGTACCAGGTCCAGGTCCAAACACTTTCCAAGTTCCTAATGGGACAGCATGAATCAAGAGACTTGAATTTATCCAAATATTTATTGCTGAGCACTGCGCTTTATAGGCGGGCGAGAGCGTTTGACAGAAATTGTTCCAGGTTGATTACTGTTGTTTACATTTAGAAAACAGTGTGCCGCACAGGTTGTCATACCTCAAGTTTGAATGAAAAATTTCACGCACAGCTGATCAGGTTGCTTAGCAACGCGCTGTCAAAACACAAGCACATGCAGCAGCAACAGCAGCAAGTATGTTAAAGGCTCATTCCATTGAGTAATTCAATGAACCATGTGGCAATCAAGTAATATGTGTACCGACAATTTCTAAAATAGTGAAAGTGCTAAATTATATTCGCAAGGATGTCATACCGTGACTTAAGAAGTAAGCTTTTAAATTTAAAATACCTGACTTTGGGAGCAATATTGGAAGACTTTTCAATATATTGTTTCTATTTTCTTTCTCAATATTGCCTTTGGTTTTTCTCTCCTAAACAATCCGTTCTATTTCAGGTTTTACGGAAATGATGAGAGCATTAGGTTACAGTCGTCTTATATCAATGGAGAATTTTCGCAATCCTAACTTTCCTCTTGTAGCTGAGATATTGGTGTGGTTGGTTCAACGATTTGATCCAGATGCTGATATGCCCTCCGAATTCGGAACTGAAATGGACAGAGTGCTCCTTATACGATCTGTTGCGCAATTCATGGTAAGTGGTTACATGAATAGATCTTCCCATTAAATTATTGTACAGTGAATTTTTAAATTATGTATTTTTTTTAGGCAGTGAAAGCTAATGTGAAAATGAACACTAAACGACTGTATCAGGCAGACGGTTATGCTGTACGTGAAATGCTGAAGGCAACATCTTTATTATACTCTACGCTTCTTAGCAATGATTCACAGCAGCAGGATAGTGAGGAACGTGCAATGTCAGCTAAAGCAGCTGCGAGCACTATTAGTAGCAAGGTCTGTTTGAAGTAAAGTATCCCTAAAGTTTAGTTTAAAATTATACTGCAGAGGAAATTATTTCATGTTTTTGTTGCAGATGCATGAGTTGAAACAAGTGCGAAATCTAGTTTCACAAATAACCAGCAAGGGTGCCAAACTGTATGACTTACTTGGGAAAGAGGTTGACTTAGGGGTTTGTAAAAGTTCCAACTTATTAAATTTCTTTCGATTTTTGCCTATTTTTTTTCCTGATTAATCTAACTTACATTCCAATGCAGGAGGTGCGTAGCTCCAGTGTTGGGCGACAAATTGAAATAAATAATGTTGAGGGTGGATTGCATCAAGCTATTGAATTTGTGCGTCATGAAATAGCTGATACTAAAATGAAAATGGAAAATGTATCTGCTACTGAAAGTAGTATGGACAATAAAATTGAAAAGAGGAAAATGGAACTTGAGCGAAATCAGAAACGTCTTCAAACTTTGAAGAAAGTTCGGTGTGTTTTTTTTTAAACGCTTACTTTCATGCTCATTCATTTCTTGCCATAATTCTCTTTATCTATCTATTTATTTTATGTCTTTTTATAGACCAGCGTTTATGGAAGAATTTGAAAGACTGGAGACAGAGCTGAGACAGTTGTATGAATCTTATGTGCTGAGGTTCCGATGTATGACATACTTAGAACAGCAATATGAAGCAGCTGAGCAAGCTGAACAAGAAAGAATGGAAGAGAGACAGGTGATTTTAATCACATTATTTACATTTTTCTATTTTAGAGAAAACTAACTTTGTATTTTAAATTGTTGGAAATTGTTTAGGCTGCTACTAAAAAATTGTTAGAGCAACTTAAACTGGACGATGGATCACTTAAACTCATTGAAGGCTCCGGTGATTTATTCACCAACCAAAAAGTAGTTCCTGCTGATGATGGAATTATTACTCAAAACGGGGATGACATTTCCAAATTTGCTGTTTCAAAAAGGCCTAGCCAAGCTGATCGAAATGGAGTACGTACCGGAGGTAAGATAATTTCATTTTTGTTATGAGACTAACTATGGTACAAAAATGTATTCTTTTGATTCTACCAATCTTAAATCCTTTTTGCAGGTGCTCGGCCAGTAACAGGACGAAGAAATGGGACTAGAGTGTTTGGAAGCATGACAGGGGGTAAACTGGATGGAGACAGTGGAAGTCTTGATTCTGATAGTGATCTCCTTTTAGATGGATCAGAGCTTTTAGGCAGTGAAGACGATGATGACAATGATGAATTAGAAATGGATCCAGCTGCAACAGCTGATGGGGGCATCAGAGCACGAACTGGACATGCAAGGAAACCACCTGACCGTCATTATGATCATAGTGATGATGATTTTTAAGAAATTGCACAAATTTATTGCTGTATATGTGTTAGGAATTTTTTTAACTTTCTGATTTGTAAGACAATACCTGATTGCAAACAATGTCTTACATCAGTCAATATTAAAGGTCATAAGGTAGTTTTCAAAGTTCTGAAGGGATGTCTGTGATGAGTGGGGAATCTGTGATAGTTGTTTTTTTCACTCTTGGCTGAAGTGTGTGGTTTATAGTTATAGTGTATTTGTGCAGAGCTACCAGCTCTAATTCTTGAAACAAATCTAGTTTTCATATTAATGTTTTTACTGTAATTGATCCTGAGGGTAAAGTGCTACCAATTAAATACAAAATAGTGATTTATTACAAATTTTCTTTACAGAGTATGTTACAAATTGTACATACATCAGTATAGCCACTTTTAATTGATTCAGATGTGTATAATCTTATGTGTAACAGGGCATACATGCCAAGAACTGTTTGTTTTTTACTCACAATTGTTATTACATTAAAGCAATGACTGTATGGAAATGTGGTTATTGTAGTTCTTATTATCACCTCATTATCAATATTTTTGAAGAATTCTCCACTTTCCTCTATTTTACATATTTCACAGACCTTGTGACATGATTTTCAGTACCTCAAATTTTTGAGCATTGTGTGTGGTACTGTTCACAAGTCGCATAATTTAGGTATTTGTTACATAAATATGGGGTGGTATATAATAATAATGTAGCCTCTGTTGAGCACAAGGAAAATCATTAACATTTACAACTCTGGATGTATATCACAAGAAAATTATTTTCATATGGAATGAAAGAAGAAAATTATTTGCTTCATTCCATACTGTTAAGGAATTAAAATCAAAGTTCTGATACAAATTGTGTTCAAAGACAGTTTTGGTGAAAATATCATTTCTTCTTCCGTGACATGGCACACAAAATAACTAAAATATAATGGTATCAGGGTGTTTTAAGTTTACACCATTCTAAACCTAGTAACTTTACATCTTCACTCTTACATGTGTCCTTTGTAAAAAATTCTTTCATAAGAACGGTATAAGAAAGAGGACGTAACGGTAATAAGGTTTGTTCAAATCTGCGCGTAGGCAGTGCATCGTTAAACCGGGCAGTCTTATTGTCAAACTTACTTATACTAGAGGACTTTACCAGAAGATACAGCAATCCAGGGTCTTCCCCTGGTTTTTATGAACATGCTGGTCCCAATAACACCCTTCGATGAATAGAACGGTGCCGTGCCCCACTATCATCCACCAGAGTCTGTGTTTGAGCCACGTCTCAGTCGACCCTCGCAGCCTCGGCCGCGTCACGGACCCCGGCGGCCTGCCTGCTGTCCATGGCCATGATGAACTCCTCGGCGATGCGCCGGTCCAGGCCGGTGTAGGTCCTGGCCACGTCGGCCTCCGTCACGGCCTTGGGCTTGGGCTTGGCGCGCGGCTTGTCGGCGTCCTTCTCGCCGCGGTGTCGCCGCTCCCTGCGCAGCCGCTCGTCGGAAGGCAGCGTGGGCACCTGCTGCAACCAGATCAAGGCCGACGTTCAGGATGGGGAAGTCGCCGGGACCGCGTCCGGAGCGCGCGGCGCCGTGCGGGTAGGCACCCCAGCCGGCACGGGGCCGCGGTGGGCCGCCCGCCAGCACGGCGCTCGCGCCGCCCCTCCGCACTCCGTTACTCACGTGCTGTTGGCGGTGCTGTCGGTGGTGCTGGTGGTACCGGGCGCGAGGGTGGCCGACGGGGCCCACCACGGGGCCCATGTAGTGCGGGTAGTACGACATGCCTCCGGGGTACGTCGGCACCCCCGTTGCCATGAAGGGCGGCCCGGGGGACGGCGGCTGCGTCAGGGTGTACACGGTCTGCGCGTGGTGACCCTGCAACCAGACGGACAAGTGCGCCATAAGTCTCTAGGCCAAAAAACACAAAATAAAATTTTCCCTGCAGTGCACGGCACTCAACATCGGGCGAGAAAGAGGAGAGCACTACACTACTAGGAGCCAGCGGGGCCGGCCGGCTCTAGGTGGATTCAGTTGTAATCCCGTCCCCGTCACTGCCATTGTTCACAACAACACAGTTGTTGCCCCGACCGCGCTCAGCCGGCCGGACGGCGGCTGTCACTTCCGCAGCCGGGGCCCGCGGGGGTGCTCAGGAGCTGACCATTGTAGTCGAGGAGCAGCCCAGCAGCCCTGGGCCTGGGCCGGCCCGGGCCGATCACCAGCAGGGTGTGCGCCAACCGGTGAGGCAACAGGAAGGAGGGAGCCGGCGGAGAGGGAGGCACCACCGCGCTGCGCCGCGTTGTTTTGTGTTCATCTCCGCTCAGATTCCAAAGTCGTGCCCGTGCCGGCCGGCGCGAAGCGGTGACGGGTGACGTACTCGACATTGTCAAAAAGCACAGAAAGCCTTAAACTGTTGAGCGGGGTCGTTCACACCGCGGGTGCCCTCCCTCCCTCCCGCCCTGCTGGCTCCATAGCTCCATGGAGCTCCCGCTGCTCCACAGTCTCGGCCGGAGGTGGTGATTGCCCGGCCGCCGGCCCCGCGCGCCGATCCGAACCGATCGCCCTCCCGATTGAATCGCGCCTAATTAGCTCAGTACCGCGGGGCGTGGCGCGGCGCGCCGCGGCGGCCCGCCCCAGAGCAGCAGTCCCGTGACACAAATAGGCGCGCTTACGGACAGGAAATGGAGCAGGGAGGATTTCAGACCACTTGAAACCTAATTGCATTAGCATTAGACGCGCGGGCCCAGCCTCACATTGTAGTTGCACTTTCCGCATGTAAGGACATTTACTATACAAAAAACAAAAATGCGATAATGCTTTCTGGGATGTTGACGAAAACGTTAAAAGTGATACTCCATAGGTGACACATTCGTAGTCCTCTAACCACGCCCTCTGTCGAGGTACGGAAGTATAATATGCACGGTTGAGCCACCTGGTTGAGTATGTGAACGCGCGGCGGTGTACCAGTTTGTGCAGCCGCCCCCACCTGGCCCGGCCGGGCCGGTCGCGGACCGGAAGCGTGCGCTTTACAAGCCGGACCTCGTCGCCGGTTAGCTGCTGCTGCTGCTGCTGCTGCTACTGCAGCTGCAGCTGCTGCTGCTGCTCCACCACAAGGAGCTGAGCGGCGCTTGTGCGCAGCGCTGCACGGGCTGCTGCATGCCACCACCGGCTTGCACGGCCCGCAAACGGGCGCCACTACTACTGCGCGACGGAAAAGGAGAAGAAAGCTCCGTCGTCATTATTCATTCGCTCGCTCGCTCGCCCAGCAGCAGCCCCAGCGGCGCCAGCGGGGCCCGGGGCGGCAGCAGCAGCAGCAGCAGCGGCGCGGCGGCGGTGGCCGATTTCGTTTCCAATAGCCCTGTGCTTGGCTTACACTTGCAGCCCCTTTGGCATGCACCGCCGTGCTGCAGTTGCCGGAGTCGTGTCCGGGAAGGCAGCCCTTCTGCTGCTGCCTCGGGAGTAGACGACGTCGACGCCGCACCCTCATATGGCTATCGAACCCCCAGACTGATATCTGAATCCATTGTGGTAGAGTGTATAGCGAGCAGCCCCTTCGACTAGAGTGCAGCAGTGTTATGTGCCCCTTGATGATCGACCAGAAAGTAAGTGCCTGTTTTTCTCAGATTCGCACAGCAAATATACTGGGAGCTTCGCGCCTGCAGGACTCGGGGTAGGCCACCCCGCGGTACATACATGCGCTACAGGCAAGATGTTGCCTACCTACCAGGCGCTTTGAGAGCTTACATTTGCTGAACCACACATACATAAGGGCATTGATTCAAAAGTTCAAAACATTTCGGAGTAAGTCGAAGCTTTTCCAGAAAAATTAGAAGGCGGAAAACTTTATCTCAGTAAAATACAAATAATATCCTGAAAAGTTTCGCAAAAGTACATTTTCTGAAAAATTAAAATCCCTACATAGAGGCGCACGCGGGCCGTTGTCAACCCGTCTCATTTCACTTTCCACTACGGACCGCGCCCAGCGCGCGTGGTCCGTACGCAGACTTGAGCGCGCCCAGTGCGCGTCCGGGCGGGCCTGGCAGCGCAGGCGCCCGGTCGGTGTGCCCCGCGGCGGGGGCCGCCTCCTCCAGGCCCGAGGGAGAGCTCCTATCGGCTGCTACACATGTAGTGCCTGGCAGCCTACTCCATCACACACAGCCCGCCGCCGCCGGCCGGACGCATGTCCGCGCGAGCAGTCGTTTAGGCGCGATGTCACTTTTTATCCCCTCACCCGCTCCCCTTCTCGCTCACCACCACCTCTCTCATCTGTTTCTCTTCTCCTCGCTCTGCTGTCCCTTTCCCTGGCTGCCCGCGCGCGTGTAATCAATTTATGCCGGTCTAGTTGATGATGACCGCGGTGAGGCCGCCGCCGCGCTGGCCGCGGTGAGCTAGGCGCCCCGCGATCATCACTAATCACCGTCACGTCCGCGCGCCGAGCAGCCCCGATCACCGCGACGCGCTTGTGGTCAAGCAGCCCCCATAGCCGCCGTGCTCACCACGGGTGCTCACCACGCAGCGGCGCAGCGGCACGTGCTCGGCGCGCTGATGATGAGCCGCTGCGGATCATCGCGAGAGCGAGGGACTTCGATCTTGCTGATTAGGGAACGTCCAGAAAGCACGAAAGTACGTCCGTCATTCGCCGTTAGAGGAAGGACCTACAAGTTTTCGTCCTCCACAAGCTCTCATAGCGCCTGATGGGTAGGCAACATCATGCCTTCAGTGCATGCGTGTCCTGCGGGGTGGCCTACCTCGAGTCCTGCAGGCGTCTCGCGCGCCGATCTGAGAATATAGGACGTAATTTCTGGACGATCCCTTGGTAAGAAGTTGCGTAGCTCTGACAGATGCATGTTTCCTACTGATGGCGCGGGTCACTAGATGTGCAGAACATGTCCGCATCACGCTTTTTGCTCTTCTAGACACCAGAGCGCTTTGCAGCCACCGGTTGCACTAGGGCTGCGGCTGCAGCTGCTGCGCGCGGCAGGTCGCGGCCAGCGCGGGGGTGGTGGGCGAGCCGACTGGGCAGGGCGGCAGGGGCTGTATGTGTCCACCGCGCCACGCCAAGCCACGCCACGCCACGACTATCGACGCAGAGAAAGTGCATGCGCCCCCTCCCCCGCCCCGGCGCGCCAGGGGGGCGTACCGCAAGAGTGTATGTGTGCTTGTACCTGCACAAGGACGCCCGCGGTGTGCCTGTGTGTGTGTGTGTGTGTGTGTTTGTGTGTGTCCGAGGCGGGTACGACTCGTTTAATCGTTTGTTGGGCGAGGTACGCAATCATTTGTATTCTATGACCGCCCCAGCTAATTGGACTCGGCCCAGAGTGTACGAGGATGAATACTATACTACCTGCAGCGGAGCGGGCCTCGCCATGGCGCTTATAGACGGCCGAGTCCGCGAGCAAGACACAACACAACGACACAATCAACACACACCACGGGCGTACACACGAGCGCGCACAACAACGACCGCACACACATGTTCGCGCCTTATTGTTGTCATTTCGCAGAAAAATGATTACTGTATTCTGCGGGGGGATCACGTGGGTCCATGGCCGTGGTGGCCGTGCCACTGGAGGGCGTGGCGTCGCTGCTGCTGCTGCTGTTGTGGGGCCCTTTGTGTATCTGCAAAGCATTCCGGCAACGTCACCGCGCGGTGTACCTACAAGGCGTTGGTGCATGTGGTGGCAGGTTGCACAACCTGGCCGGTCAGTTCGACAACGCCCCTCTGGTGGGCCCCGCCCCGCCCCGCCCCGCCCCGCCGCAGCCCACGTGCGTAACGCCGCCGCCGCCGGTGCGCACTTGTCGGCGCCGCATCGGCAGACGCGCCCGGCGGACAATGAGCCAATTATTGTCACCCGTGTCGCCCACACGGCGCCAGATTGGATTTGAACTATCCCGCCTCACTCAGCCGCACTGCGAGGCGCGGCGGCGGCGCCTGAAGCCTATACGCGACAATCGGCGCCCACTGCAGAGCGCTGGCTGCTGGCGGTAACACAATTTTTGCTCGGAGTGAACAACCATAATCGTAACTTTTTCAAAGTAAAAAGTCTCGCGTTTTGCGGCCTTTCTACCCGCAGTTAAGCGCTGCCTGTAACGGGCAGCGGCGGCAGCGTCTTGTCCCTTGGCGCTCACAGACCCGACGCGGCTGAAGGCCGTTCGCTCACCGCGCGGCCCGGCCCGGGCACAGCCAGTGACTCGGGTAATGAATCCTTATTGGAGCTGGTCCTCCTCCTGCAGGCCAGTGTCCTGGGCGCCCGGCCCGGCCCGGCCCGGCCTGGCCCGCTGGGCTGGACGGGCTGCCTGTGGAATGTCGGTGAAAGGGAAAGGGGACACGCCCAGCGTGCAGCGCGGACCAGGAGGGGATTGGGGGGAGGGGGGGGGCGCCCACCCACATGTCCACCATGTCCACCTGCAGCCCGACAGAAGGGGGGGGGGGGCACCCAAGTCCAACACACACGTGCCGTGCCTGGGCCCAACATTTTTGTCAAAGATGACCTCGACACTTATTGAAGCTGGGCCTACTCAAGGACCTACAGGAATCTTCTTACATAGTCGAAATATTGAATGACAATCAGGATGACTGGGGACTGGGTCGCCCAGCTGCTGCGGCCTGCTCCCCGACACCTTGCGGCGGCAAAGTGCCGTATGAGGGCACAGGGCGTCTCGTGTTGGGCACGACGTGAGGAGATTGCCGCGCTAACCGGGGGGGGGGGTGCGGGGTCAGGGGACGGGACTCTTCGGCGGCGGGGTGCTAAGTGGCCGAGAGTGGCCGTCACTTTTACTTGCCGCCCGGCCCGATGGCGCCGCCGGCGCCCACTCGACTGCCACCACCCGCAAGCACGCGCCGCACCGTCCGGTAAGGGGTACTCATTAGTCCCCTG